TATATGATTGTGGAATGAATCAGAAAATAGACATGAGGTTAATAATTAAGATGATAAAAAAAAATATTAAAACAGAAGTAAGCATGTTAGAATGAGAAAATTAACTGAAACTGAGAAAAGGTCAGATTATTTGAACAAAATGCAGAAAACAAAATTCAGCTTGATTTTATGTAAACTAAGATTTCATTTACTTTCATGAAGTACAGGAGATTTAAAAACCCTTAGAAAAGAAAACAGATTTATTGGCTGTTTATTTACTTCTTTCCTTGAAAAAACCTTGAAAAACCAAACTGAATTTCCTGTAAATGAAACAGTACTGAAACAAACCAGGTTAGACAAAAACAATCAAAATAAATCAGGTAATTTTAGAAATAAGAGGAAAGATTTGTCTTACTAGACATAGCAGATTCACAGTAAGGTAAAATAAAATTAAGTGTAGTATGGCATAGAAAGAGATTAACAGAAAAAAAGATCAACAAACACAGGATAAGACACACAATTTTATAGAAAGTTACATGGTATACAACAAAGGGGGCTTATTATATAATAGGAAAGGAAGGTGGCTTAATACCTATTGTTGAGACAACAGGCAATGAGAAAATACCTTAATTCCTATGATATCTCCTATATAAAATTGCACTGGTAGATAAAAGACTAAAATATAAAAGCAACATGATTTTTAGAAGCAAAATAGAATTGGTAAGGGACTTTTTTTTTTTTTTTGAGACGGAGTCATCGCTATGTCGCCAGGCTGGAGTGCAGTGGCCGGATCTCAGTTCACTGCAAGCTCCGCCTCCTGGGTTTATGCCATTCTCCTGCCTCAGCCTCCCGAGTAGCTGGGACTACAGGCGCCCGCCACCCTTCGCGCCGGCTATTGTTTTTGTATTTTTTTAGTAGAGCGGGGTTCACCGGGTGAGCCAGGATGGTCTTCGATCGTGCTGACCTCGTGATCCCGCCGTCTCGGCCTCCACAAAGTGCTGGATTACCAGCTTGAGTCACCGCACCACCGCACCCGGCCAAACCACAGAAAGTAGAAACAAGACTGAAATTTTGTTTACATTAAAACTCAAAGGTTCTACACGACAAGACATTACAAACAAAATGCAAAGACAGCCAAATACTAAGAGAAAGAAGGTAACCGAAACCCTCAGCTAAGAATCACTTTTTTCTAGACTACACAAGTAATTACAAAGCAGTAAGACAAATGATCCAACAGAAATATGAGCAAAGAGTATAAGCAGGCAATTCTCAAAGAAAGAAATCAAAAAGGTCAACAGGAACAAGAAAACTTCAATATAACTTGTCAGGAAAATAAAGTGTCAGCAAGATAGAATTTCATACAATCTGATGGATAAAAATTAAGTTTAATAAAAAGTATTGCCAAAGATGAGGAGCAGGAACCCTCATGTGCTGCTGATGGGAATGTTAAGTGGCATAATCATGCTGGAAAACAATTTAGTAACATTTAGTGAAGTTTAAGATGCCCATAACGTATAACTTAATTCTACTCCCTTGCCCTAAAGAAACTTCTTTGTGCTAGAGACACAGGACAGTCAATGCTTGGAATCCGGAGGAAACAAATGAAAAAATTCCAACCATAAGCTGGTTGCAGTTTGTACCAAATGGGAAAAATTTCTCTTCCTCACTCTACAGTCCCATCTATTACAATTAAGGCAATCTTTCTATAAATGATCCTCTTCTGGAAGAGGAAATGTGCAGAGATTTCGATTTTAATTAATTCTCACACACCAAGTATTAAATGTGTAATTCTTCGTGTCGACAAGTATTAACCCATATTAACATATGTTGCTGACTATGTGGTGAACTAGAACCGTCTTTCCCCTCCATCTAATCACCTGAAAATTTAAGATTATAAAAAAAGTTAAAGGAAATATAAAATTAAAATAGTTGCATTTAATTGAGAATCTTTCCCATCCTCTGTTGTTAGGTGACAAGACATTACATGTGGAATCAGACTTTCATTTGAAATGGTTCAAGTGGTCACTATGAAGAGCATTCTATATTAGACAAACCATTACACCGGTATTTTAGAATGATGTGAAGACATCAAAAAGTTATAATTTTGTGCTGGTGAGGATGTGGTTTTCTGTAAATTTACTACTTTACCGCACAACTGGGAGGAGGGAATGACTGTGAGACAACATACCTGGATCAGCTGCAGTGAAAGGAACACCATCAGATGTATAAAATGTTGGTTCGTTCTAGGATGAATCAAAGTGATAAAAATATGTAATCATTTCAGAATAGATTTTTATAAGTACAATAATGAAGCATGGCTGATGTCACTCATCTGCACCTGATAATGCAAGAACAAGCAAAAGAACCTAACTTCCTAGTAGCCATTTTCATTTCACTGAGAAAGTCTATGGTTTTCAGATTTCCATTCTATTATCTCAGTTTCTTGTGGTTCTAACGGTGCTGTCTATTGTCTTTCAGTGAACTGTTCTGTTGCCTGGGCTGCAGTGCAATGGCATGATTTCAGCTCACCACCACCTCTGCCTCCTGGCTTCAAGCAATTCTCCTGCCTCAGCCTCCCGAGTAGCTGGGATTACAGGCGTGTGCGCCACCACGCCCAGCTAATTTTGTATTTTTAGTGGAGACGGGGTTTCTCCATGTTGGTCAGGCTGGTCTCGAACTCCTGACCTCAGGTGATCTGCCTGCCTCGGCCTCCCAAAGTGCTGGGATTAAAGGTGTGAGCCACCACGCCTGGCCAACCATTTTTATTTTATTTTTCTTTACTACAACATGCAAAGTAAAAGTCTGAGATGCAGGTCCTTGCTTATGAATTCTCTGGAAAAGCTGCTTCCTGGCATCCCTGTGCTCAAGTCCAAGCCTTGTCAATCTCTCTTGCCACTGGATATATCTTTCTCTAGTCCACCCTTTCACTGGAGAATTCTAGGTCTCTTCTCTTTTTTACCCAGTCTGATGGTTGCCATGTCACTCAAAGCCAGTGAAGACAGTTATTAGGCACTGAATTCTGAGAACAGCTTTATGTAGATCTTCTAATTTCCAAAACTGAATTCAAGCAATAAGCAAAACTTAAAATACAAACAGTGGCATACCATAAAGTAGTTAGGATCATTTTCTGGTGTTGCTTCTCTATATGTTGAAGTTGCATGGACTCTACCCCAGTTACTTGACCGGAGTTCTACAAGCTTCAAGAGCATCTGTTTCACATCTCTGTAGAAAAAAGTTGAAAATGAGTTAGTGTATCCACCATAAGGGCTGTCAGACCCTAAAATATCTCAAATTCCTAAAACTTTATTTTCTTAATTTAACATGTACATCTGAGGCCTTGACTTTCTAGACATTTCCTATATGACATAAATTCATTTAAAAAAACAGCCTTGAATTATGTTCCATGTAACTATAACTATATGGACCTTAAAGGCAGTGGCTATCCTTCAAACAACATTTTTATGTCTCCTACTCTACTTACAGTAGTACTTTTATTTGTTGGACAGTTAATATCTGGATTTTGTTTTTCATTTAATTCATATTTTAACATAAGAAAATTAGCTTTTTCAATTTCTGAGCAAAAATGTCTGACACATGTCTATCACAAAAATGTCTAGTGAGCAGAAGCTATAGGTAAAATATTATTCCTTTAAAGAAAGTATTTTTCCATATCCATTAGCCATCAACTACCCTGCTGAAGTACAGCAAATTAAAAAACAATCTCCAAAGAAAAAGCAAGACATTGAGATGTACTGGCTATTTACATTACTTCTTTTCCTACCTACTGCAGTTTGCATCTAGGACAACATTTTCAATTCTCTGAATAATTTCTTCCATATCCATCTTTCCTTTTTCCTTCCAAGCATCTTCCAAAACTGATCCTGTCAACTAAAAAAGCAGGTGTCAGTAAAATAAGAAATTCCATAGCGTATTACAGAAATTCTAAAAAGATATCAGTAACAGTTCAAGCATTCCCTAAACAAGATGAATTTAGCGAGTTTAATATTCCTAATTCTTCTCTATCATCTAATATTCAGTGATGTCTATGCCCTCTGTATTTCTCTTCACTGAGAGAAACTAAAAAAATAAACGATAGCAGAACTTTAATCATGGGTTTTATGTCAATGACTTTTATATTCCCTGTATGACTAAGATAGGCTATTAGATTTTAATGAACATATCACTTTTTTGAAATATACAACATGCAACATAGAAGCTTTGAATTAAAAAAAAACACACAAACACGCATTTCATCAGGAAATAAATGAGTTAAGAATTTAAACAGGTAATCTATAGAAAGTAATAAGCAAATGGCTAATAAACATGAAGAAATGCTTAGAATCATCTATGACAAAACAAAAACCAAGATTGACTATATCCATCACTATAAGCATGTAGAAAGAGATGTACTCATTCTGCTGATGGGGCTATACTCTGGTTCAGCATTTGGAAGGCAAATTAGCCAATACTTGTCGTAAAGTACATATGCTTATCGACTCACCAAATCTGTGTTTAAGAATTTAACCTACAAAAGTATCTGCACATATAAAGACAAGAGGAAATATTACAAGCAATGTTGTAGTGGCTAAACTGAAGATAATCCAAATATTCATCAATAAACATTGATAAATGTTATGGAATGAATAAACAATGCATATGCATACGACAGAATACTAGGAAGTTATTCAATAAAAGATACCTCTTTTATTGTGTGTGCCATGGAAAAATTTAAGATGTTTCATTAGGTGGCAAAAACAAAAAAAAGCCAAAACAGAGTAAGAGCTTATTTAATAAGAGCACATATACAGAAATAAGAAGGGAAGAAGACAGAATTTGCAAATGGAAATGGTGTAAAGGACTTCCATTTTTCACTTCTGAACTTGCTTCATATATTACATAGTAAGTATATCTTGCTTTTCCAAAATAATTGGAAAAAAGTAAAATGTCAATATTTACCTTAAAGTAATAACTTAATCTTAAATTCATTTGAATACTATACAGACTTCCCTTCCTCTAAATCATAATAGGTAAATTAGTTAAATAATTAAAAAAAAAAACCTACCTTCAATAATTTTACTGCACAAATTAAATTGTCATCCATAGGATTAGAAAAGAGGGCATGCAGATAAATATATAGACCAACCTGAAGAATATCTGCTCTTGTAACCTGTCCATTTGTTCCCTTGATCTTTTGGGACCAAAAAAAAAAAAAAAAAAGAGAAAAAAACAAAAGGAATGATGCCAAAATATAATACAGACACATAAATGAACAAGGCATTGGCAAAATAAGTGTTTTAGCTAAATGACAAAAGTCATCGGAATACACTCTGATATCTTCACAGACTTAGAATTACTTTATATGTAACTAAGACCTCTAATAAAACTGGTAAGCTATGGGTAAAATTTAATATCCATTTATCACAGAGTCAGCATAATTTAAGGCCACTTTGATGTTACTGCTTCATAAAGCTTTCTCTAGTTTGTTCAGCTACCACTTTTTTTGAACACACAGCATTTTATTCTGCTTTTAAAATATTTTAAAATATTCTATTTTGCATCAGAGTGGTATATGTATCTTGTATCACTGGGTAGAAGAATTTTAGGTGCAGGAACTAAACCTTATCTTTACATCCCCCATAGACCTAGCATCATTATCTCCATATAGAAAATGCTCAACAGTATTCTTATTTTAGACTGCTGTTCATATTTTGGCTTAAACAAAAATTAGACTGAAAAAGAACATGGCATAAGATTTTCAAAAAACTAAGTCCACCTGTGATAAAAAGGCATAGTAAGGCTCTGGACTGGACATAGACCTTTTAGATACAATGACTGAGATGCACATTTGATAGATTCACATTGTCTTACGATGTTTCTGATATTATGGCATTTATGATCTTAGGTTCTCAAATCAGAGTATAAGAAGGTATAAGCTTATATCTGAGATTCACTAATTTAAAAAATCAAGCAGAGGCTGGGCGTGGTGGCTCATGCCTGTAATCCCAGCACTCCGGGAGGCTGAGGTGGGCAGCACCTGAGGTCAGGAGTTTGAGACCAGCCTGGCCAACATGGTGAAATCCCAACTCTATTAAAAATATAAACATCAGCCAGGCGTGGTGTTACGTGCCTGTAATCCCAGCTGCTCAGAAGGCTGAAGCAGGAGAACCACTTGAACCTGGGAGGTGGAGGTTGTAGTGAGCCGAGATCACGTCACTGCACTCCAGCCTGCGCAACAGAGCGAGACTCTGTCCCCGCCAAAAAAAAAAAAAAAAAATTCAAGCAAATCCATTACACAGTAATAATGCTGTGCTGAATGCAGCACTTCTATTGCCTACTAACAAGCATATACTTAAGTATACCACCCAAATTTATAAATACGTTTAGCTGTAGACTTTGTACAAATGCATTTTTATGTGGAAGATTAATATATAAAATAGGACAAAAAATAACTATTCTTAGGGGTTGGGGGATTGGGGAGATGTTGGTCAAAGGACACAAAATTTCAGTTAGGGGGAGTAAGTTCAAGAGATCTCTTGTACATCATGATGACTATAGTTAACAATATATTGTATACATGAAAACTGCTAAAAATTTTAAGTGTTCTTAACAACAAAAAAAGTAAAATAATGCATATGTTAAATAGCTTAATTTAGCCATTCTACGATGTATACATATATCAAAGTGTTGTGTACCATAATTTATCAATTAAAAAAATAAATATTTTTTTAAAAACTATTTGGGTGAATTAGAGTGAAAAGCCTAGTCTCTCTTTTCACTCAGAGTTCTGCAGAGTAAACTGCTTTGAACCACCATCTGAAAGTCAACATACTAAACATGTTAACATATAAGATGCAAGAATTCAAAAAGGTATTACTGTTGATATCTCAAGAACTTAAATTTGCATGTAAACCACAGCTTCCTAAAGCATGCAGACTTTTACCTCAGTAATTATTTCCCAACATCCTGCCCATGAGCAAATGTTATGGACAGACGGTCCAGTAAACGTAGGTGCTGAAACATGTTTTCTTTCCTCCTTCATTTCACTCTTCAGGTTGTAAAAATACAATATGAACACAAATTCCTCATTGAGATTAACTTATGTTCCCAGGCCTTGTTAGTACTTAACAAAAGAAAAACTTCTCACCTCCAGGTTAAGATAAAGTTCTCCCAGAAAGAGTACAAATGCATGAAATCGTTTTCGAGTAACTTCATCCCCTTTTGCAGCTTGATCTTTAACTTCATATTCAGTGCGACATCTAATTAAAGACATATCTTTTATAATCTCACATTGCTTTGCTTTTTAAATAGTCAAACAAGATAACCATTTGTCAGTTTGGTTGTCCACAGCAAGAGGCAAGGACAATGTCCCAATGCTCTTTCTACAATAAAGAAACTGCTTATTGAAGAGGCTAGATTATACACCATGTTTTTGTACTAAGACTCCCAGTTTGAAAAAACTGACAGTTTTATTTTCAACTATTTTTATCAAATTTGTAATATGTTTAAGCAACACACGTATAATCAGATTCACAGCATACTGGCAGCACCAAAGAAGGGAGAGGGAGCCTCACCTTATTTGTCTTACAGGTTTTTTACTAAGAAAGCACTGATTTTACATGTCTCTGTAAATTTTTTTTATACTACAACTTTGAAAAGGATCTTTAAATACAAACAGACAAACACATACACACGCACACAGCCTCCAATTGAAAATAAAATGAATTAAGTCCGTTATTCTTGTAATTTCCATTATACGTATCAGAGAAGTATTCATGTGAGGAAAAAATTCCCCCATTAAAACCACAATTAGAAAGCACCGGACTTGTTCTCTATTTCCAACGAGACTGATAGCTTCAAATAACTGATTTTTCCTTGCTCTGTTTGCCCCTGACTTGACCCATTTGCTTCACACAGATGACAAAAAGAAGAAATCCTCTTCTTGGAGCTTATTGTCAGTCATAGTTCCTACAAGGTAACTAAACTAGGCACAATAACCCTGTCACTGCCTTCATAAGTGAATTACGGTGTCAGATATTGTTACTAAAATAGATTTTAAAACTGGACTGTAAAAGTTTATCATTTTGTTATTAAGTATTTTTAATCTTCATTGATAAGGTGAGAAAACTCTGGGAAAGTAACTTGTTTTATAAAACTGGTTTTGACAGTTTTCCTTTTAAAGACAAAGGGAAAAGCTATGGGTACTGAATGGTTTCCATGCAGCCAGTTTAGGCTGACTTTGTAAAAAATTTTTAATAAAGAAAAAATAAACTACCTCTTGTTCAGTAATTGACTCTGGGTCAGTTTGTCAACCACGAAACCCCAGCACAGCTTACTGTGCTTATGTGGCCAATTCCAATGTTTACAAGGTATATTAACTGAGCAACATTTTCTGTTTGAGTCAAACGTGGTAAGATATTTGTTATCTTGTACATATTAAATTCCTCATCAGAAAAAAGTTGAGATATTTATAGATAGTACATTCTGGTTAATAATGGAAGAGATCTGTTAATTAATGCCAAATCAGTTATGTAAAAACACCTGTTGGCTGCTTTTCTTTCTGTTACAACTTTGTTGGCAAGAGTTGATGAAATAACTTTTTTCATAAAATGCTATGACAGATTGTACATTAGGAAACAATTATGTACATGCAAACATAAATACCTACATAATTGACGAGGTGAAAAATCAAAAGTTTTAAGCTAAAGATTTTCAATTATAAAAGAAATGTACGTTTATTTTGGAAATGTTAAAACAGAAAAAGTATAAAGAACAAAGTCACCTGTAATACCACTAAAAACAAGAGATAACTGCTGTGAAGGTAACTTCCATTCCATCTTTTTCAAAGTATGTATATATTTTTTAAAGAGGTAGCAGAATTATGCTCTGCTTTCTTTACATTATTATCTTTGACAGGATTACAGTACTATAGAAGCACATATGGTGGGTAACAGTCAACGAGAATAGAAGAGTGGGTCTCAATCATAGCTATACAGTAGAATCACTTGGGAAGCTTTAAAAAATCATGTCCTAGCTCCACGTCATCTAATTACACCAGAATTTCAAATGGTTCAGACAGGATCTCGGCTTTAAGTATTCAGGTAACTCTAAGGCACAGCGGCGGGTGAGAAGCACTGAAAAACATGAGTGAGCATTCCTGGCGTCCCACCACCTACAAGTACCCACTTTGAATCTTTACAGAAGCTACAATTTGTGTTTCTTTAAGTATGGTTAGATATCTTTTTATAACTTTGTCATCTGTATTTTTTGAAACTGTTTTGGGCCATTCCAAGTATTTTTATTATTATTATTATTATTTTTGAGACGGAGTCTGGCTCTGTCACCCAGGCTGGAGTGCAGTGGCGTGATCTCGGCTCACTGCAACCTCCGACTCCCAGGTTCACGCCTTTCTCCTCCTCAGTCTCCTGTGTAGCTGGGCCACAGGTGCCCGCCACCACGCCCAGCTAATATATATAGTACTTTTAGTTTTTTTTTTTTTTTGTATTTTTAGTAGAGACGGGGTTTCACCATATTAGCCAGGATGGCCTGAATCTCCTGATCTCATGATCCACCCGCCTCGGCCTCCCAAAGTGCTGGGATTACAGGTGTGAGCCACTGCGCCCGGCCTATCATTTCACTTTTAAGTCTCTGACATATTTGGGATTTTAGCACAGAGAGTGACACAGGAACTCATCTTTTTTTTCCCAAATGACTATCCAGTTATGCTACCAGCACAATTTATCTTTTTATCAACAGCTTGAATTTTCAAAGGTCTCTGGGGTCTACTTCTAGAATCTTTATTCTGTTCCACTGCAGTTTAACCACACAATGGAATGCTTTGCAACCATTAAAAGTAACTTAAAAAAGCTAATGGACAAACTATAATAAACTTGAAGATAACCTTGTTATCGAAGACATCAAATTATAAGAAAACTAGTTTTCCCTAAATTAGCTTATAAATTGAGTATTATCTCCAAAATATCTAACATATACTAACAAGACTTGTGTAATTTCAAATACTGATTCTAAAGTTCATTGGACGAAACAAGCATAGCAAAGAATATTCGACAGGCTGGGCATGGTGGCTGATGCCTGTAATCCCAGCACTTTGAGAGGCTGAGGTGGATGAATACTTGAGGTCAGGAGTTCGAGACCAGCCTGGCCAACACGGTGAACCCCATCTCTACTAAAAATACAAAAATTAGCTGGGCATGGTGGTACGCACTTATCATCCTAGCTACCCGGGAGGCTGAGGCACGAGAATCGCTTGAGTCTTGGAGGTAGAGGTTGCAGTGAGCCAAGCAAGATTGAGCCACTGCACTCCAGCCTGGGTGACAGAGCATGACTCGGTCTCGGGGGGGGGGAAAAATTCCAGAAAATGAACAAAACACTAATTACCCTAAGATGTTTTAAAAAATTATAGCTTTTGGCAGCGGGGGTGGCTCACATCTGTAATCCCAGTACTTGGGGAGGACAAGGCGGGTGGATCACCTGAGGTCAGGAGTTTGAGACCAGCCTGACCAACATGGTGAAACCCCATCTGTACTAAAAATACAAAAATTAGCTGGGCATGGTGGCAGGTGCCTGTAGCCCCAGCTACTGGGTAGGCTGAGGCAGAATAATCACTTGAACCTGGGAGGCAGAGGTTGCAGTGAGCTGAGATCGTGCCACTGCATTCCAGGCTGGGAGACAAAGTGAGACTCTGTCAATCAATCAATCAGAGTCTCACTTGGGTGACAGCTTTGAACAGCTGACTGCAGCCTTGAACTCCTAGGCACAAAAAAAAAAAAAAAAAAAAAAAAAAAAAAAAGAAAAGCTTTTTAATAGCGATTGTATGGTAATAAAAAGGAACAGAATAAGTGATAAATGGAATGAAAATCCAGAATCAAAACCCAAATAATGCAGTGTGATAAAAGTGGCAGTTCAAATCAATAAGGAAAAATGGATTATTCATTTTTACTCTAATCTAAATAAAATTAAATCCTTATTCAAACCAAAGCTACCACAGTAATAAGAATTACATAGGTGTTTATTTTTAAGATCTTGGAAAAGGAAGGCCTTTCTAAACACAAATCAAATTCACAGACCATTACAGAAAAAAGACTGGTATATTGAACTATAAACTTCAAATATAATGCACATAAGAATGGGCTGCCCTATTCTTTCCTGCAGCTTTCTATAATATATGGTCTGAGGAATGGTTAAATTCTAGTATATTTAGTAGTTTTCCTTTAATTTCACATTTACACTCACCTTTGAAGTAGCAATTGGCGGAAGTTGCCACTCTGTGGGCTAATTGTCAGATGATGGGACAGGTAATTACACAGGCGAGCTCCCATATAAGAGAAATTTGGGATAGACGTGGCCTTTTAAAAAGAAGAAAAGTGTCATATGACATAGGTACATCATTATTAATGCAAATCCTTAACAGCAACATTCTAAAGAGAAAAAAATTGACTCACCAAACTGACCATATATACAAGCCTTTTGTCATTGTTAAGCTTAAGGAAATTAAGTTCACTTTCCCTCCCAACCTTACAGCAAGAACCACAATAACTCCAAAAAAAAAAAAAAAAAAGAAAAAAAACCCATCAGTTACCTGAGGCTACCAGAAAGCAAAGAGACAATGTCTCCTGTGCTAACCCATTTTTTTTTTGCAGAAAATCTGTACATGGCCGCAACTGCACAGTGACAATTATGAATGAGAATATTGCCCAATTGTTGAGCAGTGGGGCTTCTTGAGGCAGGAAAGCACAGACTTTAGTGTTTGGCAGTCCAGGACAAGATTCCCTGGCATTCTTCTTCATGACTTTGGATATCAATAAACCTTTCTGAGCTTCAGTTAGACTTTAAAGAGGTGATTAATGGTACCTGGCACAAGCAACTGACATTTAAAGAACACTCCAAGAATGATTGGGTAAAGAGGAAATGAAAACAGCTAAGCTACTTAAAAAAAGAAAAAAAAAAAAAGACAGTAAGAAAACACTACACATCAAAGATTGTGTGATATAACTGAAGCAGTGTTCAGCAAGTTTAATAGCAATTTCTAAAGAATAGTGGAGAATATAGTTTACAATCTAATATAAGGTAAGAAAACACACATTAAAAGGTTAAGAAGCCAGGGACAGTGGCTCATGCCTGTAATCCTAGTACTCTGGAAGGCCAAGGTCAGAGGATCACTTGAGGCCATGAGTTTAAGACCAGTCTAGTCAACACAGTGTGACTACCATCTCTATAAAAAATTTTAAAAATTAGCTGGGTAGGGTAGCATGCACTGTAGTCCCAGTTACACTGGAGGCTGAGGTGGAATGATCACGTGAGTGCAGGAGTTCAAGGCTGCAGTGAGCTGTGGTCATGCCACTGCACTCTAGTGTGCATGACAAAACAAAGCCCCGTCTTTAAAAAAAAAAAAAAAAAGTTCCGGGATTTGGCCACAAAGGTAATCGAACATAGAATCGAGATCTAACAAATGTCCTGCTGCCCCTCTGACCCTATGTTGGGTCTACTTAGTAATTTTTATTTCTAATTATTTCCTTGCTCACATGGGGCCAGTACATGTCACGTTAAGGGAGAAAGAGTGATTTCTCCTGACATCATGTATGTTTAGCTGGTACCCAAGACTTAAAGTTCATACTTACACTTTTCCCATTATTGGCACTGCATGTTTTCCTTTAGCTTCTTTTTAATGTTATAACACATGATTTAAAGACAAGTTCCACAAGGCTTGTCATTCAAGTTTCCTGCTTCCCTACTTACACACCAGTTTTACTCCCAAAGACAACCACTTTTGACTCCTTCAGCTAAAAATATTTTAACCCGCGTTATCTCCACACTACATACTTTTTCAGTTTAGATGTTTTAGCTTTTTTATTTCTTACTGCAACTGGAGCATCCCTAGTTCAAAAATCCAAAATCCTCCAAAATCAGAAAATGCGAGTGCCCACATAATGCCAAAAAAAGTGGAAAATTCCACACCTGACCTCATGTGACAGGTCATCAAAACACAGGTGTACAACACATAATTTACTCAGCATCCCCAAAGGAAAAAAGACCCTGTCAACCCCCTTCAGCTGTAATATACTTAGGTATCCTCCCTGAGGTGTCTCATTATATACTGTATATGCTAAATCTACAAAAATCCAACATCTGAAACACTTGAAATTCCAAGCATTTCAGATGAGGGATACTTGACTTATAATTTCCCATCATGGAAGATGAGCTTTTAGCTTTCACTCTGCTTAATTTCACCCCACTCTACTGTTTCCTACTATCACAGTATGGTTATGATTTTATTCATTTGCTGTGTTTTCATTTATAGCTGAATCTTGCATTACACTGCTTTTACCTTTTTTCTGCACAACTTTGTTTTCCCTAGACTCAGTTTTTCCTACATTTTTTTATTCTTCTCATTGATTTATCCCTAAACTCACTAGTCTGTAAATTTCTTCTCATATCTTACAGCAGATGTGCTCATCTTATTATGTCTTTCCTAGAGTCTTCTGACCTAGTCCAGTGAAGCCTGGCTGCTTCAGACCTACTATGCATGCCATTATTGTTTTGAGATCTCCTTTGAACCATCATCTGGACAGCTCACTTAGTCTCTCCTGTAAAGTTCCTTTTCCTAGTTCCCATGTCTTCATCCATGGCCTAATTCCTCTTTTTGACAGAGTACCTCCTTTGTTAATTTCATAAGAAGGGTTACAACAAAATTTCAAACTGGCTGGTCAGTGTAAAAAGATCTAGATGGTCTAACTTTTTAGATTCTCAAGCAATCCTTTTAGTCTCATTCCATCCTTATTCTAGAACCTTTTAGGTTTTGCACTGCAAATCAGGGTGATTCTCAGCTTTACCACCACTGGCTTGGATCTGCCAAGTCAGGTACCACTCACCCACCTGCTTTCTAGTCTTCAAAACTAGTGCTTTTTTTTTCCCTCTTCTCTGTCCTTATATGCCTTTTAAATATCCCCATAGTGTCATTTTAGTGGTGTTTGGGAGATATCAAAGCTGAATGTGTGTTTAATCTGTCATCTTTTATAATACGTCCTTCTTGTTAGTTGCTATGAGTACATTTCCATAAATTACCTCAATGAAACTTAGCAGCTATTGATAAACCTATGCATCATTGATCATAGAATATTAAAACATTAAGTATATCGACTACATATTTGACAATCAGAGAAACAGTTGAAGCTTATCAGGTTACTGACCCTTTGGTCCAGCCCTGAATAAGTATAATGCAGACTACTGAGTAACTGAAACTGAATAGTGGAGGAAGCCAGAAAGGCAACAAGAAATAAATATATTTGTTTCATTTTCTTATCTCATATTCCTTTTCAATCCATTTATCGGCAAAAAGCAGAAATGAGAACAAATCGTGCAGTTCTGTCTTCCTAACATCTCAGGTACTTCCTCAAACCTGACAGTTGGCTAGGTAGTCTTGGGGTCCAGTAACCATCCAGAATAACTTGGAAAAGCAGCCAAATGAAACATTAGGATAGAAAATAATCATTAATTTGCATTATAATCTCCCTTCCATATATTCCAAATTTGAGTTGCTCTTGTAGCAATGAATTAAAGAACCTAAAGTTTACATTTCTGATCATGGCCCATTTTTTTTGACCAGTCTCACACTAAGTTTGTGTTAAGCCAGTGTTGTCTACTGTATTTTTCACTTTTAAAATAGCATTAATGAGGCCAGGTGTGGCTCATGTCTATAATCCCAGCATTTTGGGAGACCAAGGCAAGCTGATCACTTGAGGTCATGAGTTCGAGACCAGCCTGGTCAACATGGTGGAACCCTGTCTCTATCAAAAATACAAAAATTAGCTGGGCATGGTGGTGCACACCTGTAATCTCAGCTACTTGGGAGGCTGAGGCAGGAGAATCGCTTGAACCCAGGAGGTGGAGGTTGCAGGGAGCTGAGATTGCATCACTGCACTCCAGCCTGGGAGAGAGGGCAAGGCTCCATATCAAAAAAAAAAAAAAAGTGTTAATATGTTAATGACCAATATACTGGGATCAAAACTAAATGTTGTATAATGAAACAATTTCAATTGACTAAATTAGATTTTCAAGGAATTAAGATGAAATCCTTAAATTTTAAAAGAAAGCAAAGACAAATAGAAATGTTAAGACTCAAGACAGGACGTTTTATGGTCTGGCTTTCTTTTTTTAAAGACTTATTTATAAGGCAAGCAAATTTTCTTAATTTTTTTCCTCCCTTACTGTAATACTACTATTCAATTCAACACATAGCAGAAAAGAATTGCAGTCTTTTCTGGTACTGCTAATCTCAGAGCCTGCAAAACAAGGGGCAGGGTTTGCTTGGGTGGGTGGCACTTATGTAGCCTTCCTTTTCAGTGCTCATATCACCTTCTATACTACACTGCCTGTATAGAGCTTTGGCCAAACAGGTGAATACTGCCTATAGAACCTTGACTACACAGGTGAACTTGCAATCCAGTCTGGCTCTGCCCTTCGATCCCTAACTACAGGAATTTTATACAAGACAGACTTAGAACTCCCAGAAACTATAAAGAGTTAAGTGTGGAGGCAGGTGATCATGAATCTGGTCTCCCTCAAGGAGTAGCCACTATCCTTGGGCTTCAAGGAAGCTATCTGAAGGTCATTTCATGCTATAAGCCAACATACCTGTTGATAGATGAGTTCCACAAGTTCTTGCAAAGCGTCATCTGTTGTAACGCAACCATTCAGGGTCTCTGCAAACTGTTCAATTTCAGTTTCAAAACTGCCAGGCTGCTCTGTAAGATGATTCAAAAAGTCCTGAACATATTCTGACAGAGTAGGATAATCCTCACAACCATCCTCATAGGATTCCTATGGATCAAAAATGAAAAAAAAATTTTAATCTATGCAACTGGCTGAAACACACAAAGTGCTATGTCTCTAGCACAAATGCTTTTTTAAAGATCCTTCACATGATAAAAATTTACGTTCATCAATGAAATTGTCAATTGAGCTATTTTTCTTCCTTGCCTAAAAGCTGAAATGTTATAATATTAACAGCAGAAAGGTTCTGTTTAGCCGAATAGGGAATTGTCTTCTCATTCTGGGTCAACTTCTAAGATGGCTGAGAAATAAAGTTTAAACCAATATATCAGTACAGTGCCAATACAAAAATTAAGAATCTGATCTATTTACGAATGAAATAAGATCTAGGATTTGCTTCAAAATGGAAGGGCAAGTATGGACTAGGGATATAAAAACAAGAATGGCCACATGTAGCTTACTGTTGAGGCCATGAGGATTCATTATACCAAATACTCTGTATTTCTGCAGATGTTTGACAACTTTTTTATTGGGGGGGGAAAAAAACAAAAACCTAGTAAGTTTTATCATCTGTTAATCCCCAAGGGCAAAGAAATGCACAAAGTTGCTCGAGTAACTAAAATTTCATTATGGTGTAAATGGAAGGAGATCTTTTGGCTGCTACATCCAGGTTTCTAACAAAACCTTGATAGCAGCAGTAGTTTCTAGCTAATGTGGTTTCCACCACTGTCACCTTTGGCAGTTCCCAACCTTTTCATTAATGGCAGGAGGCTGAGTGGGTGAGTTTTACAAAAGATAATAGACTTGGGCAGCAACTTTCACATCTCAATGCCTGGAATACCACCCAAAGCGCTTTAAACTTTACCAAACAGTTAAAATCTAATAATAACTATATTGCTTGATGAAATTTAACCTTCTCCAAACAGAGTCAAATGAAAAGTCACATAGGCCGGACGCGGTGGTGGCTCAAGCCTGTAATCCCAGCACTTTGGGAGGCCGAGACGGGCGGATCACGAGGTCAGGAGATTGCGACCATCCTGGCTAACACGGTGAAACCCCGTCTCTACTAAAAAATACAAAACTAGCCGGGCGAGGTGGCGGGCTCCTGTAGTCCCAGCTACTTGGGAGGCTGAGGCAGGAGAATGGCATAAACCTGGGGGGCGGAGATTGCAGTGAGCTGAGATCCGGCCACTGCACTCCAGCCTGGGCGACAGAGTGAGACTCTGTCTCAAAAAACAAACAAACAAACAAAAACCAAAACAGTCACATAAAAAAGTTACGACTACAAAACAGAAGCATTTTGTGAAGGGCTTAAGTTCTAGAGTCAGTGAGTGCATAGAGGAAAAAAAAAAGTCATATGTGGTCAAAACACCCTTAGAAACGCTCCACGTTGGAGAAAGTCTTTTTTTTTTTTGAGACAGAGTCTTGTTCTGTCACCCAGGCTGGAGTGCAGTGGTGTGATCTTGGCTCACTGCAACCTCCACCTTCCGGGTTCAAGCTATTCTTGTACCTCAGCCTCCCAAGTAACTGGGATTACAGGCATGTGCCACCATGCCCAGCTAATTTTTGTATTTTTAGTAGAGACAGGGTTTCACCATGTTGGCCAGGCTGGTCTCGAACTCCTGACTTCAGGTGTCGCCCACCTCGGCCTCTCAAAGTGCTGGGATTACAGGCGTGAGCCACCGCGCCTGGCCCAGGACACGGTCTTAGGAGAAAGACTAACACTGCCAATTGTCCAGTTGTTCCTCTACTGTTGGTGCTTGGTATGGTTTTGGCTGTGTCCCCACCTGAATCTCAACTTGAATTGTATCTCCCAGAATTCCCATGTGTTAGTGGGAGAAACCCAGCGGGAGGTGATTGAATCAATGGGGCCAGTCTTTCCCGTGCTATTCTTGTCATAGTGAGTAAGTCTCAAGATATCTGATGGGTTTATCAGGGGTGTCTGCTTTTGCTTCTTCCTCATTTTTCTCTTGGTGCTGCATGTCAGATGTGCCTTTCACCTCCGCTATGATTCTGAGACTTCCCCAGACTTGTGGAACTGTAAGTCGAAATAAACTTCTTTTTCTTCCCAGTCTCGGGTACGTCTCTGTCAGCAGCATGAAAACGGACCACTATAGTGCTACTACTTCAAATGACCACCATTTGGAGGTCATGTTGTACACTTTTTATGTATCTTTATTTTTTGTTTTATTTATTTTGGGATGGAGTCTCGCTCTGTCACCCAGGCTGGAGTACAGTGGCAAGATCTTGGCTCACTGCAACCTCTGCCTCCCAGGTTCAAGCGATTCTCCTGCCTCAGCCTCCCGGAGTAACTGGGACTACAGGAATGCACCACGAGGCCCAGCTAATTTGTTTTTCATTTTTAGTAGAGATGGGGTTTCACCAGTTGATCAGGATGGTCTCGAACTCCTGACCTCAAATGATCCACCCACCTCGGCCTCCCAAAGCACTGGGATTACAGGTAAGAGTCACTATGCCCGGCCTATGTATCTTTAGAGACTGAAGGGATACTTAGCAAAAGTTGCATGTACTATGAGAGGCACTCAGGAAGTAAAACCAGCTGTAGAAATAGCAGATTCATGTGCCTTTTTCATTCACGTATAGTGTTCATTGAATAGAAGGATATATAAACTCTAATACATTAAATTTTGGTCACACATTGGAACCCAAGTTAAACACTCTACTATAATAGGAGGTATTAATATTGATGAAATTATTTACTAATCATAGATATTATAGCTATGACTCTGAGGATTAAGTGAATTAATCAAATTTGCCTAGACTGGTGAAGATCACATAGTAAAGCACAAAGTGCTCAACAAATGAATTACATTTTAAATTTCTAGGAGAATACTGAGTCATATTCCAAACGCAAAAACCATATATTCATACATAAATGGGCTAAAGTATAAAAAGCATCCAAAAAGAATGATACAAAGCTGTATTTCTTGGCACCTAGGATGGTACTCCAATTAATAAGCTAATAGCCACCAGCTGCATATAAGATATGTGATAGACACCATAAGGGCTTTGCCTGCCTCTTGTTTAACCTACAAAATTTTGAGGTAAGCATTATTATCCTCCCTTCACAGAAGAAACAGGCACAGAGTAGTTAAGTCACTTTGGTTATTCATTCAAAATGGTGTGGCTGCTGAGTGTCTACTAAGTGCCAAAGACTGTCTTGGGGATGGGATACTGCCATGACATGAATAAAGCAGACAAGGCTCAGGCTCTCCTCTCATGGAGCTTATCGCCCATGATGGAAGACGTTATTTAGAAGTTGAAATATACTACAAAAAATAAAATAAAATAAAATAAAAATAAATGAATAAAAAGCAAAAAGCCAAGGAAAGATTCTTAGAGTTAATATATAAACTGAGAAAGAAAAAAAGATCCAGCCATACAAATATTTAAGGAAAGACATTCTCTGTCTTTCTAAGGGCACAAAAAGCACACAGGCCCCAAGGAGGCCTAATAGCTTTGAAAAACAAAGACAATAGAATACAGAAGCTAAGGAAGGGTGGTAACTAATAAGGTCAATGAGGCAGATAAGGAGAGAGATCTTAGAGGGCTTTGGGGGCCAAATTAAGGAAACTGGCTCTTAAGGGAGTAGGAAAAACAGGATGGGGGAGAGGGTTTGAGCAAGGAAGGACCATATACCAACTTAAGTGACTGTGCATGGTCACAAAACTAGTTAGAATTGGGGGCAGAACAAAGCCTATACTTTTAACTTCTATGTGAAACTCAAATGACAAAAGCTTAAAACTCAATTTTGACTTTATGTACAAAGATGTTCATTGCCAAAAAATCCATGCAACAATCCATTAACAAGGAATTGGTTAAATACATTATCATGTATCTGTCTAATGGAATATCATATAGCCATTTAAGAAAACAAGAGACAACAGTACTTACCTCTAGAGTGAGAAAATGTTCCCATTATAAATATTGACACTATAAAATTGTGAAAGCAGTTAGGCATAATTGTACACATTCATATACTTAATGTTAACTACATACATGTGGGAATTTCATAACTAAAAACTAGTCTTAAGTTTTTGATATACAGTTGTTAGTTTTATAGACTTGTAGTATCCTACCACTATTAATGACAAGGAATAGGAGAAAGGCAAAGGTAGGGGTCCCAGCTGAAGGTACTAATTTCCTGTTTCCATCAAGTGTCATTCTTTGTGGCAAAAATGCTGCTTAGAACACTGATTTGCAGTCCTTTTTTTTTTTTTTTTTTTAATCAACAGAACTCTCTTAAGAAAATGTAAAATCTGATAAGTAAAAGAAGAAAGTAGAACTGCTCTGAATATAGCAGAACAGAGGATCCAGAGCCTGCCATTTTAAGCAAAAAAGGAGGGATAGAGTATTTGGAACAAACAGGCACTCCAACGTGTTTGAATCAAAGCCTGCATTACTTCTCTAGCACCAGATTTTTTAAAGCCACAAATTTCTTCAGTCTTCAATGTGGAATCAAATGGCTTCCAAACAGGGATATTTTCAAGTTTTATTTTTCTTAGAATTCTATGGGAGATTGGGAGCAATATCAATTAGAAAATGTACTTTTTCATGGTAGGTACTCTATATACATTGTCAAAAGATGAGAACCTATTACAAAACAGTGGGAAAAAAACAAAACTGATCAGACACTACAGAGAGTGAATACAGTCAAGACTACTTTAGCTAGCTGGATTGAACTAAGGCAAGGGTGTGCAGGAGAGGTGAGTCAATATGCCACCCAGTTCTCAGTGTAAGCAGCTAGTTAGAAAGAAGAGATTCGCATGAGATAATTTTTATACTGTGTATAGATTTTATATTTGCATTTGAATGTGAGGTCCTCAGGAAGTGGTCAAACAAATGAAAATGTATGCCTAGAGTTCAAAGGAAGAATAAGATGTCAGGGTTATTAGCACATAAATGATAGATTCTAGGGAATAGGTGGGATTAGCAAAGGAGGTAATAAAATGGAAGAAAGAACATCACCAACAGTCATCTGAGGGGAAAAGGAATGATCTGCAAATTGGGAGGATAAAGAAAGTACTGCCACAGAAGCCAAAGAGGTAGGGGAGAAGAGGTGCTCACAACAACAAATGCTACAGAATAAATTCATAGGTTAAAATCTGGAAGAGGATAATCATTGCGGAGTCTTGGGAATGAAGGAGATTATGCTCAGAGAGAAAAAAGAACAAAATTAATACCTTAAATACTTAGTTCTTATAAAAATGAGAGGGAGCTTCTGATAGACTAAAAAGGTACCTGTGCACCTAGCACAGGAGCTGGCACATGGGGACTTATAAACTGAATAGATCCTACTGTGCTTAAAGTTTTAAAATGAGATTTAGGAGGATAAATTTAAAAATCGGAAGAACATCAGTCACAAAAATAGTATCAATATAATTAGGGAGATCAGACTGCAGAGGTTTGAACAGTGAGAGACAGTGAATAATTTTACCTATTGGAGAATGATACTACTGCAAGGCAGAAGAAAACCTGGGAAGTAACTTGAAGAGGGATTCTCTTAGAAAAAAAGCTCGTTTTGCAGGGGAGGGAGGGAACATTCTGTCTCTTAATCAATGCTTTATGAATTCCTATGTTAAATTTTTGGCTCTGGTAAGTGAACTGTGATGAAATATTCAAGGCATAATGGTTTGTCTGAGAAGAAACAATGGCCAGGAATAAATGGATATAGCAACTCACTGGTAAGAAGGCATGGAAAGTAGGAAATTCTAGCAGCAGGATTAGAGGAAGAACTGAAGATAAAAAGGCTTGGTGCCTTGAAGGAGTTAAGAAAGCACAGCAGACGACTACCATAAAGGCTGTTAGAAAAAGGATACCAGGAAACAGATTTTCATGTGTAGAACAAAAGCAGACTCAATAAATGTCTGGAAACTGAGACAGGAGACTACTAGAACAGAGACTCCATGAAGACAGGAATTTCTGTCCATTTTGTTTGTTGCTATATCACCAGTGCTTGACTCATGATAAGTACTTGACTATTTGTTGAACGAGTGAGTGAACGTAGCTAACTTTGGATTATGGCCACCACTAGAATACATTTACTTTGCAACAAGAGCTCATCCTAAGAGTCAGGGGGAAAAAAGGATTCTGCTGTTCTGTGGCTAATTGGATTGAGAAAAACTTTTTTAGCCTTAACTATGAGTGAAGATTAGGGTAAACTAGTAAGGCTAGAGAATATACCAGAATAGGGGTAGTAAGCCTGAATGCCTGTAGAATTCAGGTAGATTACAAATGAATAAGCCAGAAAGCAAATTAGAGCTCACAGACTCCATCTAAAGAGAATGCCTCTACTCAGCTACAACCAATTTTTGCTGTATCACAATGCCAGTCCACTAAGGCCAGATTTTATGATTCAAGTTTCTAATATCTAATTTAGGTATTGGTAATTAATTAAAACAACTAAAAGAAAAAACAAACCCATTCAGGGCCAGAGAAGACACCTGCAGGCCACACAGGTTTCCAGGTGCCAGGCTGCAATCTGTTTTGGCAAATTGAGCACAGGAGGTGCTCATCTCTAAGAGAATGGCAAGGAATGCCTAAAGGATGCAGTGGCTCAAAGTAAGTGGACTAACATTACTTTATATACTGCTCTACAGCCCCAAAGTCACTTGAAGCATGTAAAAATAGTTGATACACGATTGTTACAAACACACCCCTGTATACCTCCATCATAAAATAGCCCAAGTCAATAGGGAAGAAAATAAATGGGAACCTGCTTGTGGCTGCTAGAACAAGCATCCTTAAGAGTTTATTCAACTACTTATAGCGCTCTAATGGTTCTTCTCCTCTGTGAGCTAAATACAATTTTCTGGCAAGTCTCAAGATGCTCTCATTCCTGCCTCACACGATAGATGGCCTTTTTCACCCTGTATCAATTGCTTTTCCTGCTATATCTTTTTCTTTCCAATCCCAAACCTTTTTCCTATACAGTGTAAGAATCATGGAGTATCTAAAACATGGAACATAGCTTTTCTATACTTCCACTGTAAAATATGGAAGGAGAACCAAAAAGAGGTAATAAAAAAGGTGTGCCATTTTCAGTTATAAGAGAAATACAAATTAAAACCACAAGTAGATACTATATGCCCACCAGAAAGGTTAAACTTAAATAGAAAATACCAAGTGTCGACCAGGAAGTAGAGCAACTGGAAATCATACACTACTCAGAATGTACAGGGGAACAATCTCTGGAAAACTACATGGCAGTCTCTACTAAAGCTGGCTACCCTAAGTCCCAGCAACGCCACTCCTTGGTATATACCAAACAGAAATAAAGGCATACAGCTAGCAAGACACAGAATGTGCCCTATTCATAATAACCCAAGAGTGAAAGCTACCAACGTTCGTCAGACAAATGGGATACATTCATGCAATGGAATGTTATAAAAATAAGTCACCTCCAATTATATGCTACAATATGGAGTAATCTTGATACTGAGTGAAAGTGAGAAAGAAAATATTCTATATGACTTCATTTATATAAACTTTGAACACAGGCAAAACTATCCAAAGAAGTTAAAACAGTGATTATACTTGGACATCAGAACAACTGGAAGGAGAGAGGGGGTTTTTGGGATGTTGATAATGTTCTATTTCCTGACTGTGATGCTGGTTAGTTGAGTGTTCACTCTATGAAACTGAGCTAACACTTAAGTACAGTATTCTCTGCTATACTTCAATAAAACTAAGAAGATATGAAAGACAGGACTTAAGCTAAAGTATCATCAATCATTTCTTCAATGATTCCCTCCCACTTCTCTACAATTAATCCCTATGCATTTACTCATCTGGGTTTATCCAGTACAACAAATTCCTTTCTACATATTCCAACTGTGCTTTATACGACTATTTAAGAAAAGTGACTATGTTTTAAAGTTGTTATATAAGTTACAAAGAAAAACTGAAAGTTTAAACGTTCTTTATACCTATGTAAATACTTTATCACAACCCCGTAGGACATTTCTGCATACAATAATTAGGACCAAAACTATGTCTATTTTAACATAATGGAATAATCACTAGAAACAAGAACACAGATGTGTACTCTCAAGCTTACATTCTAATACCTTGAATATAACTACAAAATATATTCCTGAATCAGCTTTGCTTCATTCTGAGTTCAATAATTCAAAACATTCACAATAAAAAAATTTTTTAGGTGTAGTACAGAAAGCACAAACATACTCTGATTAACAAATAATCACATTATTCCAGTAAATTAACCCAGAGTTGTAAGAAAAAGGGGGTACTTACTGTGTAATTGGAAGAATAACCTGAAGGGTAAAATTCAGGGGCATTCACAGACAGCTTAGACATTAATACAGGGGCTACAACCACCTGGGGCTTAGCCATTGCTGACTCCGAGTTCTGCTGTGGGATTTTATCCTGTGAACTAGGTGGAGCTCTCAGGGGCCTCGTTTGCTCTGAGAAAGAAAAAAACCGGACGTTAGATGCTTTCTTTCCTTTGTACAACAACTTGCTATATACTGAAAAACCATCTGAAAAGCATCTGTTTTTAAGGGTTAAATAGGAACCGTCATGAAATTTATGGTTATCGCCGAGATGTGTACAGACAGCCTACAAAAAGGAACAATAGACTTGCTGTGACTCATTTATGGGCATACCTGCCTCTAAATGCGAGCTTGCGAGCTTTTTTCCCCTCTGTCTTTTTAAAGGGATCGGTGGAAAAGAGGTGGTTGGTTGCTAGGGTCTCGCTTTAGAGAGCTGCTGAGGGGAGGCGATTTTTACTTCCTCCCGCCCGGGACGGCGAACTCCGAGACCGCGCACCCGGCCCCTCCCCCAGCCGGGCGCACAAAGGATTCCAGCAGACACCTTCCAAACCCGGTTCCGGGCCCGTCCCTACCCGGTCACGCGGCCCTCTCGGGGAATGCTTTCGGGGAACCGGGGGTGGGGACCGCAGACAACGTCGGGCCTCGGCACGCGTGGAAGGCCGTGGGGAAGCGTTCGCCAAGGAGGACTGGGGCCCTTAGAGCTGCTCCGTACCTGGGAGCGCCCCGGGCCGGGAAGGCCGCTGGGGGCTGACGGGGACCTCGCACTGGGCCCCTGGCGGCGGGGCCGTCCTGGGCTGGCGCAGCGGCGGTGGCTGCAGGAAGCCCGGGGCTTTGGGTTGCGGCGGCGGCTGGTGCCGCGCCCGCTCAGCAGGCCCCGCTCCGTTCGGGAAACCGCCGCCCTCAGGCCCGCCCCCTCCGCGGCCCAGGCCCCGGCTCCGGCCCCGACCAGCACCTGGGGCCCGATCGAAACCGTCCGACATGCTCCTCCTCCTCCGCCTCCTCCTCCAGGGGCCGCTGCCGCTGCGCTCGCGATAGGACGCGGGGGGGAAGGCGCCGCGGGTCGGCTGTAGCCGCCGCGCCTCACTCGGGCCTCATGGAGGAGGAGGGCGGCGGGCCCGGCTTGGCGGCTTGGCGGCCCGGCTGCTCGGTGCTCCTGGCTGAGCCGACAGCAGGCCGAGCACCCGCCACTCCAGAGCGCCCGCCCCCCGAGGCTACCCTTGGCTTTCCAATTCTCCCCCAAAACCCGGCTCCCCGCCTTCGGCGCGGCAGGGGCGCAGGCGGGTCACAGCGGCCCCCTGCGGCCCGGAGGCCCGGGACGCGCCCGCGCGGCTCCTCCCGTTCGCGGCTGGCGGGACCCCAAGCCCTGCAGGCCGCCCGCCGAGTGGCGTCTCGGCCACCGGTCGGCCCGCAGCCAGGCTCGGGCAGGGGCATCTGGGTTCCTGGGGCCAGGCTGGGGGTATGAGGGGTGAGGGGGACGCTTACCACAGGCAGGCCCGACCTACTTGGTAGTTCTCAGGAGAGACGTGCGAGACTGACAGTTGACGCCCGGAAAATAAAAACACGGGGGGAGGGGGCGTGGACCCTGCGCCAGGGTTCGCTGGCGCACAGGTGTGTTCAGCGACTCGGCTCCGACCGAGACCCGCGGACTGCTGAGGACTGGTCCCTGGGAGACTGCCACCTGCTCTGTTAGCATCGGGGGAAGGGAGTAGAAACGGAATCAAAATATGTGTCCCCCCCTTTTTAATTCACACTAGGTGTTTACCGCAGTAGGTCACACCTACGTTTAAAAAGCTTCGTTCTCTCTGCTTTAACCTTCCCCTCCAGAAATTTCAAGAAAATGTGCTACCTTTCAATGTAACTCTCCCCTCTTTTTCACCTTGTATCAGTGCTGTCCAATGAAAATATAATGCGAGCCACAAATGCAAACCACTTATGTAATTTTACATTTTCGAGAAGCCACATTAAATGAGTGAAAAGAAACAGGTGAGGCCAGGCGCGGTGGCTCACGCCTGTAATCCCAGCACTTTCGCAGGCCGAGGCGGGCGGATCATCTGAGGCAGGGAGTTGGAGACGAGCCTGACCAACATGGAGAAACCCTGTCTCTACTAAAAATACAAAATTAGCCGGGCGTGGTGGCACATGCCTGTAAATCCTAGCTATTCGGGAGGCTGAGGCAGGAGAATCGCTTGAATGCAGGAGGCAGAGGTTGCAGTGAGCCGAGATCGTACCATTGTACTCCAGCCTGGGCAGTAAGAGCGAAACTCCGTCTCAAAAAAGCAAAAACAATAACAACAAAAACCCAGGTGAAATTAATTTAAATTTACTTAATCCATTATGTTCAAAATGGTATTTTAATATGTGATTTAAAATATTAAATATTTTCTCTGTTTTTTAGATACTAGTTGGAATCCAGTGTATATTTTACACTTACGGCACATTTTAGGATTGGCACATTTCAAGGGTTCAAGAGCCACATGTGGCTAGTGGCTACTGCGTTGCACAGCACAATTCTAGACTTTATTAATATGTAAATTGTTGTTTTTGTCAGGCCTAACAGTGTTAATGCCAACGAAAGGATGGATGAACATGAGTAACGACAAGGAAGGAAAAATTGATTTCCTTACTGTTGGATTGATCCATCTCCACAAATTCTGATTTTAGCCTTGTGTTGTAAGCAGGGTTTCATGTTTTTCTATCTTTTCATCTTAAGAATCATTTCAATTAGGAACACAAACTTTTGTTAACCATTTTCTCTTCTGATTAATAAAGAAAACAATGTTTTCCCCTAAATGAATAAGAAAATGGCTTTACCGAGGGCAATCATGAATAAATGATTCATGCTATTGATGTTAGGCAAAAATAATGAAGTCAGGGAAGGAAGCCAGCAGTACGTGTGGCTCTTCAGTGTAGGGAAAGTATAGGATTCAGTCTGCCAGAGCTTAGTTGGGATTCCAGCCTTGACTATTACTGGCTGTGTGATTTTGAGTAAGTAAGGGGTTTAGCTTCTCTGAGCCTCACTTTCCTCATCTGTAAAATAATAACTGTATTGTAACACTGAGCATATATTACAGACAAGATTACAATTTTAAAAATTACAATTTTAACATTTTAAAATTCATTATTGTATGTGGTCACCAGTCACTTCTTGTCTGGACTTTTCTATCATATAGGAAAGACCCATAAACTATGCTAGAAAACTAACAGTGAGTTATGCTCCACTGAAGTAGATGCCCCAATTCTGTCCCAAGCTTTTGTTTGCACTCACCACCCTTTCACTTCCCCTTAAAACCTTTGTGATGAATAGCACCTTTTCTAACACCTGGGACTTTCCTATGTGAAGATAAGGCCATTACTGCATCCATGGTGATGTCATGACATCTTCACACCCTCTTGTTAAGAAAGTTAGGTAAGATATCCTTTGCCTCCTCTGTATTTGTTACTGTATAACTTTTGCCCTATTCTTATAATGTGTGGATGGTGGACTTGGAGATAACATGAATGGATTTTGCATCATGATAATAAAAATATCTAATATTTGTTATGTGTCAGTCACCTTTCAAGAGCTTTTATCATTTTATTTTATCCTCATATCCTGTGAAATAGACATTCCAATATCTTCATTTTACAGAAAAGGTGCCAAGATACCACAAGGGCTCAGATCCATCTTGGGACTGTTTTAGAGCTAACTGGCAGGTATTGCAAAATGCATACACAGAAACACATGAACGTGTGAGTACCATGTGGACCTCCCTAAAGAGAATCATCAGAGTGCTCATCATCCACATGTATGCCTTTCTTATTTATTTATGGTGAAAGGAGAGTAGAACTAAATTTGGACAGGTTGGAAAATACGTTGTAATATGGGAAAAGGACCTGCTGTGAACTATGAAAATTTCCTTAAACTGTACTTGAAAGCCTTTCTCCAGTAAGACTTCCCAAGCTGCCTAATCTTAGATTCTCTCCCTTGTGATAAGTGTACCCTGGGAAAAGTGTCTTAGTAGTTAGCATGCCAGATTGTTATTGTTAGTATTTGGTTTATTTAAATGTCTCCTTCCCTACACTAGCCCTCTGAATACAGAGGATGCCTTTTAATCCTTTAGGTCCTAACCCAGTACTTAGTCCATTATAAGCTTTTAACAGAAATAGGACTCACCTGCAATGGTCCTGCCTTTCCTTAGGTCACCAGTCTAGTGATGGTAATAAAAAAAAAAAAAAAAAAAAAAAAAAAAAAAAAAAAAAAGACTGATTTTTAGAACTTGTTGACCTCAGGATCATCATTAGACCTTGTGGGAGTAGACAGTGCAGCCTTTCAAGGCCAGCTACCAAGAGAAAATTTTCATAAATATGCAAGAGGAAATATTTGCAAACCACATGGTATAGTTTGTATATTTGACCCTCCAAGCCTAGTGTTGAAACTTGATCCTGAATGTTGGAGGTGGGGCCTAATGGGAGGTGTTTGGGTCATGGTGGCAGATTCCTCATGAATGGCATGGTGCCATTCTCACAGTAATGAATGAGTTATGGTTTTACTAGTTCCCAAGGAGTTTCCTCAAGAGCTGGTTGTTGAAGAGAGCCTGGTACCCTCCCCGTCTCTCATGCCTCCTCTCTTGTCATGTGATCTCTGCACGCTGGCTCCCCTTCCCTTTCTGCCATGCATAGAAGCAGCCTGAAGCCCTCACCAGAAGCAGATGTTGGTGCCATGCTTCTAGTACAGCTTGCAGAACAGTGAGCCAAATAAAACCCTTTTCTTTATAAGTTACCCAGCCTCAGCTATTCTTTTATAGCAACAAAAATGGATGAAGGCACCATATATTTGACAAAAGACTCGTATCTAGAATATATAAAGTACCCTCAGAACTCAACTGTATTGAGAATACTGTAGCCAGGTGCGATCCCAGCACTATGGGAGGCTGAGGCAGGCAGATTACCTGAGGTCAGGAGTTCGAGACCAGCCTGGACAACATATGAAACCCCGTCTCTACTAAAAATACAAAAATTAGCCAGGTATGGTGATGCATGCTTGTAATCCTAGCTACTTGGGAGGCTGAGGCAGGGGAATCGCTTGAACCCAGGAGGCAGAGGTTGCAGTGAGCCGAGATCGCACCACTGCACTCCAGCCTGGGTTGTGCGTGACTCCATCTGAAAAAAAACCCAAACAAACAAAAAACCCAAATCAACTGTAAAAGGACAATTCAGTTAGAAAAGGGCCAAACATAAATGAAAGAACACTTCACTGAAGGGAATATACAAATAGCATAAGCCTATGAAAAATGTTCAACATAATTAGCCAGTAGGAAAATGTTTTAAAAACCACTGAGATTTCACTACCTACTTATTCCAATAGCTCAAATAAACAATAGTGACAACACAAATTCAAGGATGTAGAGAAACTAGGAACTGTGTTGCTCATACGTTGCTGGTGAAAATGTAAAATGCTGTAGTCACTCTAGAAAACAGTTTGATAGTTTCTTTAAAAAACTATACATATTAGTACTGTATGACCCAGCAATTGCACTACTGGACATTTCTCACAGAGAAATTAAGATGTATATTCACATAAAATCCTGTACCCAAATATTTAGAGTGGCATTATTAATAGCCCCAAATTAGAAAGAACCCAAATATCGTTTGATGAATAAATAGTTTAACTGTGGTACATTCATACCACAGAATACTACTCAGCAAAAAAAGGAACAACTACTAGTATAAGAATGTTGATGGATCTCAAGGGAATTATGCTGAACACAAAATTTCTATCTCAAGAGTAATTGTGTGATTCAGTTTATGACAAAATTACAAAGATGGAGAGCAGATTTGTGGTTGCCAGGGATTAAGGAGGGAGTGGAATTTAGAGGCAAGAAGATGTGGTTATTAAAATAGTAGGTAGTATGAGAAAAACCTTGTGATGGAACTATTTTGTTCTTGACTGTAATGATGGTCACATGAGTCTATACATGTGATAACATTCCATAGAAATAAGTGTGCACACATACACACATACACACGTGTGCATGTAAAACTAAGGTTGGTGAACTGTATCACTTATATCATATTATAGTTATACAAGATATTACTATTGGGGGAAACAAGGTGAAGCATAAACAAGATCTCTCTGCATTATTTCTTAGAATTGCATGTGAATCTATAATTAAGTTTTAGAAACCTAACATATAAATAAACTTTGTTCCATCTTATTCCATCACTCCTAATTCTCTGCTAGCTAGTTCAGTTAATT